GTATGTAAGTATGTATGTATGTTTGTTTGGCTGTATGTATGTATGTATTCATGTATGTCTGTATATATATATACAGACATAACGTATATGATTATGTATGTATGTGTATACACACACGCTCATATCTATCTATCTATATATATATATATTAATTAATTAATTCTTTATTTATTTAGTTAGTCAGTTATTTGTTTATTTATTTATTTATAGAGCAGAACCCCTGGAAATCCAGGGGTTTTTATTATATTGTTTAGGATATCGTAATGTCCTTGCTTTCTTTTTTTGACTTGAAGCTTGGTGTGGGCGGTGGGGGGTTTGCAGTTTGGGGTTTAAGGGTTCTCTGCCTGTGCAGCGATGCGGGGGGTTATGCTGCCTGTGCAACGATGCCCTGGCAGGAGTAGCTACATTTGGAGCTGCGGCTTGGGTTGCAGGCTTTAGGGTTTGGGGTTTGCAGTTTGGGGTTTAGGGTTCTCTGCCTGTGGCAAGAGTATGCGTTTTTTGGAACTGTTTGTGGGGTTTGCTGCAAGCTACATTTGGACATGTTCTGGGGTTTGGGTTGCAAGGTTCAGGCTCTGCGGTTTGCGACCTGGCCGCTGCGGCTTTCTTAGGCTCCAAGATTTGGGGTTTACAGTTTCAGCTGTACCAGATGGAATTGCATTTAACATGGTTCGAGAGCAGAACCCCTGGAAATCCAGGGGTTTAGATTACACTGTTTAGGATATCGTAATGTCCTTGCTTTCTTTTCTTGACTTCAAGCTTGGTGTGGGCGGTGGATGTGAACTGTGCCTTTGGTTCGCGCAGCTTCGGAAACTTGTCGATGGGCTCCTGTCACTCCTTCGGACAGTTCGGGTGTGAGGCCAACTCCCAAGAAGTTGATCAATTCTGCAAATGCTTGGGACAATTTGTTGATCCGGGAGTCCGGCGAATGAGGATAACACTTAAATGAATGAAGCGATCTCCCCATCCAGCACTGGCTTCGGCGAATTTGGATTCCAGATCTGTGATGATCCCGCCTCCCGATTTGTAATAGGCATCATAGTCTGTCACAAACATCGTTGGAAGCTGAGCTCTGATGTCCATGATGGCCCTGGAAAGATCTGCAGCATGCAGGCAGTATGCAGGGCAAGCCCGGCCTCTACATGTTTGTATGAGACCATGAGGATCGCACCTTTGATTTTGGCGGAGGGGCGGTGTCGGTCCTATGCGGGAAGGCAAGGTGTCGAAGAAGGGGGAAGCATGCGAACACAACCACCAGCTCGATCTCATTTCTAAGCCCTCAGCATGTCTTAGTGGCATTGGGCCGCTTCAAACTGCTATGCCAGACCGCCCTTCCGCACGGTTTCACAGTATCGGCACCTTGTGTGGCGTTGCAAGAGAGGTGGGAGCAAAACCGTAACAATGCGGTCTTTTCTTGTCCTCTAACCTTGTGGCCTCATCATGTTTTCCAGCAGTCATTTCGGTGTGGTCTGGAGGTCTTTTGCGCTCCTGCCCAGATGGCACAGCCCAAGTAATTCATTCCTGCGTATTTCTTGGCACGCCTTCTCAATGTGACTGGAAGTTGGGCCGTCAAGGGCACAAGACCCTTGCTTGCATCACTTCAGTCCTGCCAGATTCTTCAGTGCCCACATCCAGCAAGGTGCGAATCCAAGATTTGATGTAGATCGGGGGGGTTCGGTTTTGTTAGTTGCCTCGTTTTTCGCCTCCCTGCCATGTTGAAAGGGCATTTAAACACGAGACTGGACTACTGTCAGCCTGTCGCAGTGCGCGAGCCTGCTGTCAGGAAGCGCTTACGCCTCACATGACTTGAAATTGGGCCGTTTTCTGCCTGCGGAGGAGAGGACGTTCACTGCCACAGCCGCAGCAGGGGTTTGCCTGGACGTCCTGTTGTGCGACTGGGGAGAGTGCAATGAACAGATTCGGGTCTCATGAACAGATTTTGTGGCCTACACACACACGGCAGGAGGAGGGGAAGAGGGAGATCAAGAGAGACAGAGAGAGAGAGAGAGAGAGAGAGACACAGAGAGACACAGAG